GGGTACCCGTTGCCATTGAGTAACGCTGCACCATATATCATTCAGGTATCACAATATCAGAACTTTTATTCATATATATATATTTCCACACTATGTGTGTTATTGTCATAATTACTATACTCAATTTATAATCACATTGTAAATAAACCCATAATCATGTTTTCATTTATATTTAAACTAAATCATCTGTTTTGTCAGTTAGGTGTATGTTTTATGTCGCAGTGCGACATATTCAGCCATTTTGCCATTCAACCAGTCATGTTTGTAAAACCCTTGAGAGCATATACAATCACAACACGGACCCGGTAATAATGTGACGATTCTTCCACTCACTCATAAACCCTTTAACGCTACCACTACCTTTTGCACTTACCATGCAGAGTGAGGGTCGTTACATTTTGGTGGCAGCGGTGGGATATAATCAGTTGTGATTGGCTCTCCTTCAATGCTGTGACCCATAACGGCAGAAACTATGTATATGGCAATATAAGTGTTACAAAACAGTTTCCAAGAAATGGTTCAAAAATGTGTTCCTCAGTGCATCAACTCAAAAATGCATTGGGACACTCATTTATTATGTCAGGAATAAAGCTAACTCAAACCACTCTTAAGGTTGTCATATTGATAACTTTTGCGACTTAGTTCAACTGGGAGGTGTGTGACCCGTAAATGTGTTTTAAGGAAAAATACCAATTTCCTTATTGTGACAATGCCTTCTCTGTGCTCTTGGTGTGTTCTTTTGCTGGACATGTGGTTAGTTGTGATGTCTTGGTCATACCGTACGTACTGACCTAGAGTGACAACTCCAACGGTGGGCCACAGACCAGTGTTCCTACCTAGTGGAGTAAGCTGTATTTACTGGTAATTTCTTCTGCAAGCCAGCTGAAGAATTTCCTCACACAGTTGTCATTCACCTCATTGCATCTCACCACTTGACTGGTTCAGTTCACGGTTTGAGTTCTGAGCTGTCATTGTTACTAGTAGTAGAGAAGTTTGTGTTGTCATGCTCGACAGGCAACTCATAATGTCTCTAAAAATGGTTCCGGTCAGCCTAGAAGAAATTTGTAAAAAGTAAGCAGCTAACTTTTTGCAACATGTTGCTTGAGCCAATGGATCCGGTGTTTGTAGTACTGGTTGTGTCCGATATGCCTTTTGGCGACATAGCTAGTCTACTCCAGCAATGGCCAGGGTCTTAGGTCATCAGATTGAGTATAAAAAGTAAAAAGACGCCAACTGTATGTATGTTACCATCTAAAACAGAGTTGGGCTTGAGTGATTAGGTGAGATGAAGTGTGATATTTAAATGGACAACCTGATAAGCTGGATTAGGTTGTAGGGTTACGACTCTTATGGTCTCATATTCTGGCATATATGTGACCACCGTTATGATCACAGTTTGTTGGTTTGTTGCCCCTAACCAACTTATCTGTTTTCATGATTTCATGTTTTATGGTTGAGTCATAACCCTAGATGACCTGGAAAAAGAGATAACCCTGTAGCACATGAAGTCTTCTAGAAGATGGACTATGTTATTTGCGAGGCTTCATGACTTGTAATGATGTACACCCATGTTGTAAGAATGTTCTTATTCCAGTAGTCATGTTGGTTTGTGGTGAGCCTTCATGTTTCTATCAATGGACTGAGACTTTATTCTATGCGTATATCTATTCAGTGTGCTGCAGTAGCTGAATTAAGACAATCTTACTATGTGTCCATCACATGTGGTAAACTTATGATGCTGAGTTTTGTAAAGGAATTGATTGTCCCGGACACAGCGAAGTCCCCAACTCTAACGATGTCAGATGGAGCAGCGGACACAGCGGAGTCCCCAACTTTAGTGATAATCAACCAGCACCTTTGCTGATGGACAATTTAATATTAATGTAAAGTAAAGTTGAATTTAGCCTATTTATAAATATATCAGTTGGGACTCCTTTATCGATTCAGCCTCATGTTCGAGGACGAACACTTTTCAAAAGGGGGAGTAGTGTGATAACCCAACAGATTTACTTTCTTGTTTGCCGCTATTCAGTTATGTCAGTTCGATGTCTCACCACTGTTGGGTTTCACTTAATGTTGTTTATATACTTACATACATGTTTAGATCGTTATTATCCACTAAAGTGTCCTATTCTAGTAATTTGTGGATATTGTTGGTCCTGTTCGTACTTTTGGCGTAATTCTCGAACTATTCTTAGTTCCGTTCGTACTTTTGACGTAAAAAGGTCAAGGTTACTGTCGTAGTTTTCTGGTCTAAATTTCATCCTGTTAACTATGTTTTATCATTAATCTAGTAGGATATGCACTTAATACGTAAATTCAGCTCTCTATAGGTAGTTTAAACTTAGCAATCGGTCCCGTATTGGCGAAGTTATGGCCGTTTTTGTGGATTTACATAAGTTCGTAATTTATGTCGGTCGCTGCGCATGCGCAGAAGACAGGTAGCCATCTTATGTTTTTCGAGTAAATCATTCGTGATTTGCTCCGCTATCTTCACTCAAAATGTCGCTATCGTTGACCGTCGAGGTGTCTTAACTGTCTCACGATTTACACCAGTAAGTCGTTCGTCCACATGAGGTGATTAAAACAGGATTTGCACGAAGTCTGACCCCCGAATCAGGCTTGAAGTTTGAGGTTCACCCCTCCTGCATCACTTGCAAATGTCAGCACGTCTGACAAATGGCGAACTACATACCACCAACAACCAACCACTCATATGCTGATGCAGTACCTCATGTGGATGGACACCCTACACCTCATTTCAAGCTGTGTGCACTCTATGTATATCGAGTGTGACAAATTGGCAAGTATAACATTTGGATTTGGATTTGACTTGTTAATGCAAAAGCACATTGGAATTATTTGACCCATATTTGGTTTACATGGTTGATGATCAACATACCCAGTTTGATCATGTCAGTTTTCTTCATTGTTGATGATCAATACCCAAATTGATCATGTTTTGGTACACTGCAAACTACCCTGTGCAGTTGTATGTTACGTAATGTCTCGCTTGTATAAAGTTGGCTTATGGAGTTCAAGTCTTACTGTTGGGCAACAGTTAGTATCAGATAGATGATGGTGTTGAGTTAAACCCTAATGGAACCCTAGTTTATGGTCTAGCCTGATACTAGTTTTGAACTTGAACTGTTCTATTGTTTATCGATGGTTGGAGTGTCGGTTTAATTGTATTGTTGCATTAAGGTCGTTATATATAATTTATATACTGTATGCATGTATGGCTTTCCCCAAAGCCACCCTAGGGAGATACAATTTGTTGCACCCAATATTACCAAAGGGAATACAAGTTGTTGCACCCACCCTTATGTTGTGTCATGGAATATTATAAGTTGGTGATGTACTACTACCAACTTGAGTATACAGTTTCACTCATGTTCATGATTGATCACTTACTACATAACATGCACCCACTTGTTACATAGCATGTACCCACATGATGTGTAATCGCACCCATATGTCATGTAGCACGCGTCGGCATGTTTCATAGCAGGCGCCCACTTGTTGCGTGACATGTATATCCGTGTCATGTGATTGCACCCACATGTTATATGACATTAATTTTCCTAGCATGTTACATAATGAGCAGTCATGTAAACATTGTTATCACTAATTGGTATGTTGAATCAAATGTTGTCCAAGTTATTGTTATAATCATTATTTGGTATGTTTCACCCAAGCTTGTGAATACGTAATGTTACGTTGATATTTCTAGTCGGTCTTACATTTTGTCAGTGGTTGTAATTCGGTTCTTTGCGTCATGTCGTACACTCCAAGGTGCCAGTTGTTGTTGTTCTCATTGTCAAAGGTTGTTGCAAAGTCATGGTAATACATATTGCTATGTATGTTTATTTGGTCACCAGTTGTGTCACACACTCTCCCAGATGAAAGTATTGTATGTTATATGTGTAGTTAATGTAGGATTTATGAATATGAGCTCAATAATGTGTAATTGCAGTATCAGCTTCTTGGTAATTATGTAATCTTACTTGAGTATGTATTGTACTTGATAGGAAATACTATGTATATTATCGTAACCACATTTCAGGGATCTTAGTTGCATAACGATCCACCTTTGTGCGTAATCCTTGAATATTGGTACCCGTTGCCATTGAGTAACGCTGCACCATATATCATTCAGGTATCACAATATCAGAACTTTTATTCATATATATATATTTCCACACTATGTGTGTTATTGTCATAATTACTATACTCAATTTATAATCACATTGTAAATAAACCCATAATCATGTTTTCATTTATATTTAAACTAAATCATCTGTTTTGTCAGTTAGGTGTATGTTTTATGTCGCAGTGCGACATATTCAGCCATTTTGCCATTCAACCAGTCATGTTTGTAAAACCCTTGAGAGCATATACAATCACAACACGGACCCGGTAATAATGTGACGATTCTTCCACTCACTCATAAACCCTTTAACGCTACCACTACCTTTTGCACTTACCATGCAGAGTGAGGGTCGTTACAGGTACATTGCAGTAATCTGCAACTAACGCCTGTCGGCTACCGGATAAACCTATTACTATTGGTCATTCAATATCTTTTAAGTGATACTAGTTGTGCAATGTGTAAAAAGAGAAATTAAACCTAAGGCTCAATGCATTGTGGCTTATGCCAATCCAACCAGGCATTGTTTCCTAAACTTAGCACTCGATGCTACGCATCTCGTGCAACGTTTGAACAACACAATTTAAGCCTGATACTCAGTCCACAATGCAGGCTTAAGCAGGGCTTTAACTCTTTGAAACCCATGTCAAATTATATTGGATGGTGACAGGCAGTTTACGTGTTGATTAAATTACCAATCATTAAACAGCTTAATTTGTACAATTAAGTAAATTGAAAACGTTCGATGGGTTGACATGAACCTATGCTGTTATTTCTAAATAATATCTACAGAGCTCTAAAAGCTCATGAATCGTCAGTAAATTAATACATGTAGAAAACGGTAGCTTACCTTTTAACTCTTGAAAACATAGGTCTAATAGATGATTATGTCACGCGTGTGCTGTCTCGACTGTGAGATCCAAACTCGTTCAAAATGAATCCAAGCTAACATGAGGCTGAGCTTTTCAATCTGATAAATAACGCTCGCGATCTATATTAAGGAACTGGTACTGTTTTGGCACTCATCGACCACTGATAAACAAGATTAAAAGTCAAAACAGCAGCATTGGTTCTGGTTCTGCGCTCTTCAACAAGGAACGTCACCTTAGCAATACAACGTAGCAAAACTGACGTATCCGCCAATATGTTTTGACGGCTCGTGTGTATTTAGCTTTCCCGGGTGATTAGATGTCGTATTTACGTTCAGATTGATCTGATGTTAGTCAATGCTATATAGCAATAGAAATAGCAAATATCTCATAAATTACTACGCCTGGTTAGATTTTTTATTTATTTACGAGCGTTGGTAACCACTAAGCAAAATCTATGATCATGTAGAAATTGTCAATTTATAGTTTCTGTTAGGATATATTATATATACACAATTGTACTATCTAGTTTCCTTACATAGTAAACAGAACAATTATTTTCGGGACGACTCCAAACTACAATGATAGCGTTATCCTCAGTTGCCTTGGACATCCGTTTATCATTTTATTTCAAGTTCCTATGAAACGTAAATGTCGTTTCAGCATATTTTCAAGCCTTTAACAAGTCGTTCAATAAGTTCATGTTAAAGGTTTTCTCATTTTCTTACTTTTTCACAGTTCTCGTTGAGACGTTCACTGAATATGGAAAAATAGATTTTATTATGCAATGAAACATACCTATCAAGTAAAAATCATCTTTTTGAAAATCGGAAGACAAATCGGGACTTGACAGGAGAGTGACAAACAAAAAAATTACTTTTCTCTGATTGGTCAAAAGTTGCAGTTGCTATTGTGAATCATATTTTGGTCAAGCTGGGCAACAAAGATTAATTTTGGGTTTGGGAATATCTCATCCTCAATCATTCCATTCTGAACAAATGTTTGTAGGAAATTTTGAAAGAGCAAAGATCCACGACACACTTCCAGTAAGTAATGATAAATGAGTTATGCTTAATCAAAAGTCAAAAGGAGAACTTTGTTTTTATCTTTCTTTCAGATATGGGAATCTAGAGTATTTGTATACGACTTTTATTCTATTGATTACAGTCTGTCCCGTTTTTTGCAACGTTTTTACCTTGAATCCCGTCAACTAGTAACATATATCTAACAAATCGGATGTTTCTCAAGCACATGTTTATGTAAATGACGATGTGTATGTATTGTCTTGAAGTCTTCCCGACAATGTCCATATTGCCTTTTATTGAATATATATCATCCTCAATCAACCCAATTGTACGAGCCCAGAGATTTATGTCTTTGATTATTTTAGTATATGCAACATTGTTTTAAAGAAATTATACATGACTTTGTACTCTTTTCATATTGTATAGTTGTTTGTAGCCGCACTGGATAATAATCCACGCGCCACTGTTTTAAAAGTGTTGGCAAATAAATAAATAAACAAATAAATATATCAGGTTTTTGTAATTCCTCGGTTTTGATATTGGTGATTATCCAAGAGAAATATAGCGTGAATCTGTTATGTTGAAAATATCTATTTAGATCAGAGGATTCGAACAACATTTCTGAAAAAGATCGTCTTAATGTGGTAAGGGGCAAAAACACGACGTCTTATTGAGAATATTGTATTTTAATTAAGATAAACAAAATATATACAACAAAGGTGATCATTATAGAATTGTAATGAGAGTAGGCTATAATATTTAGACTTAGCGTATTACCGGTTTTCTGTTAGTGCTTCCGATTCCGGAGGCACACTCCTTTCTTGTTCAATCTTTTCGTTTCGTTTCGTTTGATTGATTGACGTTAATTGTAGTGTACATTCAGCTCTATAATCCAGCTCATAAAGCGATGAGGACTTCATTTTACCTATTTCGGCATTAACTCATATCTTGACCAAGGGTTTATTTTGACATTACACAACGTAATGCTTTTATTATTTTAAGATATACAGTATAGAGGATATCGTATGATAGAAGAGTGATATGATTCGTATAATTCCCTACACCAAGGCCTTCTCGGCATATATTGATATTGCATATAATTGATCATATGAAGAAAATGTGATTAATAGTTTGTTCAAAACAGGTAATGATGATGAACAGAGCACTCATCCAAACATAAGTAGGTGTCTCACTGTCGTTTCTTGGAATACAGTGTTCTTGCACCACCATTTAAACTGGAAAATTAGCAGTATATTGAAAATGAGACAAAAAGAATATTGGACGGACGAGTTCAACATTCAATACCTTAGTGTTGGTCAATAAGTTCTACGTTCAACTATACTTCATTTTCATCGTGTTCAGTTTAGAATGTCGTATAATTATAGTTCAGATGTAGTATTACAATTTATTTTATTTAGTAGAAATTGTTTTGGTACTTTCAATTAATCGACAAGTGCTTGTTAAGAACCCAAATCAATACTCAAACAAGCAGCATTGGTTTTGGTCTCGTGCTCTCGATCTGAAACAAATCATTTCTTTAGTTGCAAAGCGTATATGAAATTGGGTCATATTGGTCGATATTTTAGTAACATCCACTAAGAAGTTTTCCCGGCAGAGAGAATGTGCCTTCCATGCTCGGATTTATCACATACTATATCTATACTAAGTAGCTCGCAATTAATGCCATCAAACAACTTCTTAAAAACCTGATGCCCAATATACCTGATTACATGATTTTAATCCGTAAGCACTGAAACTGCACAAGCTGCAACTAATTTAGAATGCAATCCTCTTACTGCGCATTAATGAGAATAGTAAACATGTCCTAAATCAAAGATAGCATTTTTCAAAGGAAATTAGTTTGAGGAAGTCATTCAACCGGATGAATAAAAAAAAACGTTCGATAAAGGAGAATCTCAATGTCCAATGCTGAACACTGAACGTCAAACCATTGCCCCTATACTATAGCATAGAGTCATATTTTGCAAGTGGAGTTGTGTCCAGGTGTAAAATGGTAGGCGGTCCTATCACATTTTGGTCCTACTCTCTATTGATTTAAATGGTGACCTTTCAATTGTTTTCCTAAATTATTTATACACAATCAGGGCCAGTAAGGGCCGTAAGGAAAGGAGGACCATAATCCCCAGGGGACCATAATTTCTTTTACACCGGGCATTCTGAATGGATGTTACAATTTCTTTTTGCCTCATTTTGGGGCTTTTCATACTCAACGAGGGGTCTCCTTTAGTAATGCATCCGATACTATCTAAAGGAATGGGCAAATATTAAGCCAGATCTATTTGAAAGAATGTTTTTGGATCAAGGCCATGTCTTGAGGAATATTGATTAATACAGATATTTATCAGATTGAACTAAAGATACATATGACCCCGTTCATATCTCTAAATTCAGATCCATAGAGAAGGAAATACTTTAGGGATATCTGGGGAATCAGTTCAATCTCGCGTACATAAATCAAAGCAAACGAACTGGTATGATTTATAGAAACCTGTCAGTGGTAACAATGCTTTATTCTTGTTTTGGGATTAACCCCTGCAATCAATGATCTTCTTATCCTTGAGTATGGACATTTTAGAAATAATGAGATCTAGATGGAATAGCATATAATATTGGCGAAGGAAGACTCATAAACATTATTGACAGTAATATAGGAGAACGTAGTTGATTGTTAAAGGGAGGAGTTGCATATTTTTCAGTGTTTGTTAGCTAAAATACTTTCTTTTCATCGTACTGGATTGCTAAGTAATTGAACCCAACGGACATCAAAAATACCTAAAATGGGCCACATCGTACTTTCAATTACAAATGAAAAAGATGTTCTCTAATCTGTCAAATTGTTTAATCATTACAAACACAGACGACAAAGAAACAGGTCCGCATACTTCCGCTGGCTTTAGGAGTTACATGTACCAATACGCCATCTATACATTCAAAAGTAGTTTAAAAACACCTAAGTAGTGTACGGTGCATGCGCCGAAACTGATATATGAACCTCTAATATTGTTTGCTACGTTAGTGATTTTTCTTGGCGTAATATTTGCACAAAAGATGGTTGGCCTATTAGTATAAAGAATGCATGCGTTGTTTACGGGTGTGTAGGCGTTAATTACGCTCGTGTAGATGTAAAATTACGCCCGTGCTGACGAAAAATTACGCCTGTGTAGGCGTAAATTACGCCCGTGAAGAAGTAAATTCTACGGGCGTTCAGAATACATTTACAGGCGTGAACTTACGGCGTTAACATTATTAATTACGGGCGTTAAGACTGTTATTTTACACGCGCTGAGAAACATCTTCACGCCCGTCGAGTTCATTTTAGCGCCGTGAATTATGAACCAATCAGCATCTTGCTTACATGATGATACGATGCATTATAGCTAAAAGTACAACTCCAAGATCCTTGTGCAAGTTAATAACATACTCATGATTGTGCCAGGAACAACTGTTGCAATTGGAGGCATATGAAATATTATTTCTTTTCTGGGTATCTCGGTGCACTATTTGTGCAAATGTGAAAGATTTACATCGTATATTAAATGAGTTATGTATTCCTGGAAATAACATGTGACATATAAAGACGGCTGCATAAAGATTCCAAAAAGTACACATCTCCCTTACACCAAATTTGAACATATGTTGGCTAGGTATACTAGGTATATAGGCTCATTTGACATTTTCAGTACATTTTCAAAAAATGCCAGATCTGCAGGATATAGTCTAGAGTCAATTTGCAGTTGATCAGATACTATAATTCTAGTATCTGGACACATCCTTTAGAGGGATACATTAGCGATCTGACTGTATAATGAGACTGTTAGCTGCAATGCGTGTGAGCTTAATAAGTCCCTACCTAGCCTACCTCTGAAGCCGACGCCTAGATTGGAGAATTATCCAAAAATCATCGTATTTAGAAACCAAACATGTATACCTTCTCAAAATACTCTGCAATTTTGTCGTTTCTACAATGGGTGTTGATAACTGCCAACACAGTACATGTCTCTTCAATTTGCCTTTTAATATAATTTGCTCTAAAAAATGAATACTTCTTTGGTTAAATCTAGTTCAATCTTGAACGAATATTTAAGGACCTCAATGCAACACACTAAAATGCAAGCAGGCTTCTGATTGTTGTTTACTAGCTCAAGTATCTCGGAGTTGCTCTTTTAGCAAGGATGCATTAAATCATCATGTAAGTAAGGTTCTGATTGGTTCATAATTTACGGCGCTAAAAATAAACTCCACGGGCGTGAAGATGTTTCTCAGCGCGTGTAAAATAACAGTCTTAACGCCCGTAATTAATAATTTTAACGCCGTAAGTTCACGCCTGTAAATGTATTCTGAACGCCCGTAGAATTTACTTCTTCACGGGCGTAATTTACGCCTACACAGGCGTAATTTTTCGTCAGCATGGGCGTAATTTTACATCTACACGAGCGTAATTAACGCCTACACACCCGTAAACAACGCATGCATTCTTTATACTAATAGGCCAACCTACAAAAGAAGCTTTGTATAGTACTTTACTGTGCAAGCCACTTTCTCTGATTTTTGTTCCTTTTGTCTTGCATCGTCATTACATCTACATACTAAGATATGATAGGTTGCATATGCTAGATGATTCGATACGAAATACAAACTTTGATGATATCATACATACCAGATTTAGGTTCAGATGTGTACAGTAGGCGAACTGAATGAGACCATGAAATTATTCGCATGTAGGAAACAAAGCACGTTTTTATGTTTAGAGTTATTAAGTTCATTCATGTATTTATTGGATAAATCATAAATAAATGAGAGAATAATACAATTAGCTAAATACACAATGCACAATAGAAGAAGAATAGCATATTAAATCTATTGAAAACTAACTATATATGATGATTTAGAATTTATACACATTCTAATGTCATATGCATGCTATGCTTGAATACAGCCTTTAGATATAGCGAATGAATGAAAACACGATGCGCCAGTACAACGAATCGAAAACGTGCAGCGAAACATGTTTTTTTCAGTTTTGCCTGGAGTTCATTTTATTGTTCTCCGTTCTACCAGAGGCATGCTTTGTTTTAGCAGTCGAAATGTCATCCGTCTGTAAAGATCAGTCACGTTTGACATACTCGAATTGATAAAGAGTCATTGTTTTTCCTTTATCCCTCATTGTCTTCATTAGAAAGGGAGATTCATAGTGTTAAACAGGTGGGTTTAAATTTTGAAATTTTATTGTTTCCTCTTTGTGCAAGATTTAATGTCATAGACCTCCCAATTGCATGTTTTGTATATAACTATAGGCTTTCCTGAAGTAATTCATATTTGCTGGAAGTATGGGTAAGTAGATATGTTGACTCGATCATAATTTGAAATAACTAAAACGTTGAAACGTTTTATCACACTTATTGGACTTACTTTTATTTTACTTAATATACAGCATGTAATACAAGCTGTATATTTGATCGTTTTTTATACCAAGTTTTAAAAGTGAAAATACATAATGGTACTCATGCTTCTATAAAGTATGCCATATATGCAATATAAGAATAGTATACGATTTATATATATTGTTCAGTGAGTTTCATATAGTAAAATGAAAGCTAGTATTTTACATTTTAGATTTATTAATTTTGCGCCTTGTCGTGGTGGCGCTAGTCTACAAAAATGTGGTAGGTCAATCAGTGGCCATATGCGATGGAATTCAAGATAGCATTGCCTTAACGAACACCTACAAGACTAAAACAATGCCCGATTTAATGAAGAACTTAAATGATATTTATAAAGTCATACTCGGAGAAAGTAAAACTGACGACACGTTGACCTCTGCAGAAAAGAATTCACTGAAAGTGATTCTTAAAAGTCTTACGTTAATGCCAAAACAGGTAAAACTTATCCAAAAGGGAATTTCGGCCATGAGTTCAGGCTCTCCCCGCGTCAAATCAAAGTACAGGGAACTGGACGCAAACAATTACATCAGTATATTAGGAGACAATCTAATGAGACAGGCCGATGACTATTTGGTCTCGTTTGATTCACTGACGTGGGAACAAAAACGATCGCAAATTAATACTCTGTCTTCACTTGGTAAAAGATGGGGTAAAGATATAGCCAGTGCACTTAGAAAGCTTGATGATGGTCCGGAAAAGACGACAATGACCTCTTTGAACAAGATTTTTAAGCCCTTTAATAAACAAATGCTTAAAGTTTCTAAGGTACTCTCTAAAGTAGAATCGATGTTTAAGTCGCTTCTGAAGAAAGCAAATGATTTTAAAGACGGCTATGAATGTGATAGCGCATCAATAGATAACACTGTACAACCAACCACTCCAAGGACTACTAAAAGACCAATGACGCCAAGACGCACAACACCGAGACGAACAACACCAAGACCTACTACATCAAGACCAACGACAACAAGGCGGACAACACCAAGGCGGACAACACCAAGGCGGACAACAGTAAGGCGGACAACACAGCGACCAACAGCGACAACAGAACAAGGACCACTAGAATGTCCAACTAATTTTGATCCAGTTTGTAGTGAAACTACTAGTGGCGTTCGCTGCAAATGCGATTGTCCATTTTGTGTGCTCAATGGTAATTAGTAACATTAATTCCTTGTCTGTAGTTTGCAAATATGTTTCTTTTACCGAAAAGTGACATGTAGTTTAGGACCCCGTATTTTCTTCATATATCTACATAAACGTTCTGGGTATACTAATAATGATGAAACTGGCATACAAAATTAATATAATGACTCTTGGTGAGATAGAAAAATTGCAACAACATACGTACTATGAAGGCATCGATTTATGTCTGATAAGCGTAATATATTTGTTAATTTAGATGTCGAAAGCTCCAACACCCACATATGGCCTGTCGTCTTCACAAGATACAAAACACATTTTGAATATTTAATTAATAAACCGATGTTTATTATAGATGCCGCGGAATGCCGTATATGGGGTGCTGCTCATTATATCACATTCGACGGTCACACATACGATGTCCAGACTGGTTGCTGGCAAATATTAGCTGTGTTATACGATGGAATAGAGGGCCATGATCACCCCATCTTCAAAGTCACCGCCCATCTTTTAACAGGGGACCACGAGGCGGATCCGGAACATGAACATGGTGGTGGAGATCCAGAATGGCCTGACGATGTTTCCTATATAAACACAGTGGAAATTGAATTGGGTCAACATAAGTACAGTATAGACAGGGACAGAGTAATCACAGATTGGGTAGGAATTGAAATCAGAGATTTTAATGCCGTTTGAAATGCTTGAATTAATTGATTGTCGGAGTTTTTTTTGTATCTGTTTCAAAAATGTATATCTGTAAAATGTTATAAGTTCATATTTAAAGATATCTCAAGTTACATCGTGTACACATGAATTTGACAAACTTGCCCTTTTCATCTCAATATGCACTGATTTACCAGTTACACAAGCGATAGAAATATCTGACCAATAAAATAATTCACACCTTTATGGATGGGATTAACATAATTTAGTGGTAATAGCTTTCTGCCCTGGTACTCGATTCGAATTTTGTTTCAGGACACCGGAGAACATATAGCAGTTCCTTCCTACGAAGAGACTGAACATGTTCCTGTTGACGGGCCTTGGACGATATTTTTTGACGAATATGACGAAATAGTTTACATAACCGTATGGCCAATTGGATTTGAACTGTCGTTTCACGGAAGGGGTACAGGTCGAGTACACTTCAAAATACCACAAAGCTACAAAGGCAAAGAAATAGCAGGAATGTGTGGAAACTTTAATGGTGATCCTGATGATGATTTTCCAGAATTTATAAGGAATTATGTCAACCCTGGAAGAGTCTTTGGAATGATCCACAGTACCTTTTGTGATATTGAGGGAGGAGAATCTGAGGAATTATGGTAGTAAGTGGTTGTTCAACGAACTTAAGCCATGCTGACATCATTTTGTAACGATACCCCGTTAACCACCACTGTTAAATGAAACCAAAAAAATCTTATTACCTTTGGGGACTTCACTTTAAAGAAAACATATTGTTTTAATAAAAACCACTGTATTTCTACCCAGAAAATACTCATGGTGAAAGATATGACTGTCTAAAATCACTTGCCATATTACACATGGACCTTAATTGATTTTATTCCCCAAAATTTTTTAAACAAAGTTTATATTAAATTAAAAGATTGATTGTAAAACGTTTTATATTCGTACAGCACCCTTTTGAGGTGTGCCACCGTTATAAAGGTGAATAAAATAATAATAATATAAAAGGACCTAAAAAGTAAACTCAAAATTTTAAGTGTTAAAGGTCAAGGTCAAAATCTAGGTCATTTTTCTATTTTTCGCTTATATCACAATAAAGCTCAATATTTTGCTTTTAAACTTGGTGAAAATAGAACATTGTCAAATTTTTCATTTTCCCATCAATATCGGATGTCAAAATCATTTTAAAATAGAAATCCGGAATCTGGAGTCTTAAATTGAATTTTGTTCAAGTTCACTAATCTAGTTTTAATTGAGTTTAAATTTATATTACTTTTCTCTGGTAGCGATAACTGTGGTTGTGAGGGGACAGAAAATTGGGATATCCCTTGGAATAATCCAGACCATGAATTCGACTCCGGTGCTTTTATGACAGCGCGGAAGGCATGCAACCTGTACGACCTATGCTTTGGTAAAAAAATCGACCACAAGCAATTCAAAACAAGAGGTTGTGTCCTGGACATATACAGTGCACCGACATTAGATACAAAATGTGAAGCAAGGGCTGATGTTGCAAAGGCGTGTGGAAAAACAATGAAACATTGTCATATTGATGGTAAGTTTGCTTTCGCTAAATATGGATGTGATATATAACCATATTTCATTAGGATAAGATATATCAATGGCAAAGACCATATCTAATAAATGTTAACCTACCCGGGGTAATCATAAACTGATACTATCTCTCTATTTCCATTGTTGGTGTTTTCCCGTTGGCACATGCGCTTACATATTCTTAATTATTCTTCATATTCTAAGGACATATTCCTAGGGTATGTAGGCGAGTGGTGATATTTAGAAGAACAGGCTTACAGAAATATATTTTTAGAAATGGGTGCCATAATACACCAAATATAATATTCCAAATAGTGATTTGAATGTATATTAATTACCCGCTAACAATTCTGTGTCTTATTCAGGAAGTTGTATTGGAAGTATATGTTATAATGGAGGTTGGCATAGAAGATATTACAATGGCAAGAAAACAGTATGCGGTTGTGTCTGCGCGCCGGGATATTCTGGAAGCGACTGTTCAATAAAGAAGGGTGAAGACGAAGGTAAGCAGACACATACATGTACACATTACCATTCACTGTATTTTTTACCTCATGTTTTCATGAAGGGGCATGGTTATCTAACTTTTGAAAAAATTATCTGACATTTTAGTTAACCTACATAGATAATTATGAAACAGATACATCACAAATTTTAATTGCAGACATGGTGATGTGTCGAGGATGGGGAGATGTTCATTACATTACATTCGACAAGAAAAAATATGACATGCAGGGTGATTGTAAATACTATCTCGTAAAACCCACTACAAAAATGCTTAAAAGCGAGCTGAAATTTAGCATTCAGGCCAAAAACAAAAAATCACACAAGGGTGCGACGGTTTCTACCACCGATTATGTTGAGCTACATTTGACTAAAGACGTCTTCAGAATCAGCCAGGGAAAACTTGTATCGGTATGTCTAATTTTCTAATTTTTGAAACTTTACAATCAATACATTGTCAAGAAAGCAATATTTATATATGTCGATAATATATATTTATTTAACCTAATTTACTTGCTATCCGTTTACTATTTGTTTTGCCCTGTAGCATAAAATGGCATAATATTTTGTAGTGGAATGGTAAAAGGTTAAACCTTGATGGACCGATTCAGTTCACAGACTACTACACATATCACTTGGTACGAATTGAAAAATGTGTTGATGGTGGATGTGATACTCGAATAAAATCACATGATGATTTCATACAAATCAGCGTCCCAACATTGAGACTACGTCTACTTTTTGATGGCAACCATGAAGTCCTGGTCTATTTAGACAGTGAGGCATGGGGTGGAGAACTAGAAGGACTGTGTCAGAATCTTAACGGAGATAGTACTGATGATCTAATGACGTGTGGATTCAGGCAAAAAGATGTGTCAAATCTACCAAATTATGGTACATTGATAGGGAACAGCTGTCAAGTCGCTAACCACAGGTAAATTCAAATTTCGATCCGACCTCCGGTTCGGAAGTTATGGCGTTTTAAAAGCTCAAATTTGGTGATCGATGTTACGTCATGGGACAAAATAATTTTTTGAAGTGAAAAATACGAGATATAGACTGAGTACAGCTAAACATAATAAAAGCCTATATTAGAAGGTGACCTCAAAAGCTACTTTGCTTCAAAATTTGGACACTAAAATGCCTAGGTCAAAATCTAGGTCAAATTCATGAGTTTTTCTTATTGTTGCGATTCTGACACTTCACTTTAATGATTTGCTTCAAAATTTTGTATACAGGTAGCAAAGAGTGTGCTAATACTGTAAGCCTTTTGCCGTCAGAAAGTATTTTGACCGACTTTTGAGATATGATGTCCGAAAAGTAGGCTAAATAAAGTTCTCCAAATTCAATGTATGAGTTATGAAATAAGTGTATAATTTTCTCAGGAATCTTAGTCTGCAAACTAAATTTCGATTTGACTTCCAGTTCGGAAGTTATGATGTTTTGAAGTTAAAAAATCGATATGATGATATTGCTCTGTTAAATCTATGGAGCTCAAGAAAATTATGAATTGTGACGATACGAGATACAGACTGGATACAAATAAAATAAGTGAGAGCCTTCAATAGAAAAGGCCCCCCAAAGCTACTTTAATATAAATTTGGACACTGAAAAACCAAGGGCAAGAACTAGTTTAAATCTTACATTTCAAACGTTCTCTTAATCATCCTCGTCACTATTCGTCGTTATCCCTTCATCTTTTTCATCATGTAGATTAAAACAGCCATTTCATTAATGTCACTGTCCTTTTTTGATTACTCATACCGATTTTGAGATATGACGTCCGGAAAGTAGATCAAAACAATAGATCCTCAAAATTCAACGTATGAGCTATGAAAAAGATGTAGAATTTTCGCAGGAATCCGATTCTACGCCATTTTAAAATACTCAGCTACTCAATGAAGTTACTTACTCAGCTACATACTCAGCTGCTTACTTAGTTACTTACTCAGCTACGTAATCAGCTACCTACTCAACTACTTACTCAATTACTTAATAATCATCTACTAACTCAGTCAGTTACTTACTCTGTTCTTTACTCAGCTCTTTACTCAACTAACTAGGTCAATACAATCTGGAGTTTTCAATTTACAAATCTAGTTTTTTTGTATCCTATAAATGAAATTAGAGATTTATCGTGTATCACACAACATCTAAAGGATCTAGATCTGCAATTTTTGTTGCTTCTTAGCATTATACAAGCATGTATAATGTATGTTCAATAGTATAACTCTGTTAATGATTTGTAAATGTATAGGTGGGAACTTGTAAGAAATTAACATATTTTTAGCATATACTGTATGCTACATTCTCAAATGCGTTATAGATGTAAAGCAGAAACAAATAGTGATACTCCTCCAATGCCAGATGCTACATTAGTGGCTAGAGCCAGAGATCGGTGTAATGCTGCATGTGACCAAGGTCAAGATCCGCCATGTTTTGATCCAGTTTGTAGCGCAGATGCAGATCAGAGAGCCATGATTATAGAGTCATGTATAGTTGACTATTACCATATGATAGATGATAGATGTACCGTTCTTGGCCAGGTAGCGGCCAAATGTGGAGTACCAAAAGCAGCGTTTCAGTGTAGTAAGATTCTTTATTAGACAGAATGAGGATTGGAAGCCGTTATTCAGACTCTATACTCCCGGGCCTTGCGTGGATCAATTTGGTGGCAATACATATATAATATGTATAACGCATATTTTGAAGACTAGAACAGCCAAGGAAATTTTAATTTTACCATAATATTCATAATTGTGCATCTTCTGACAAAATACTTGGTCCTAAGGGAATCTTAGGGAAATATTTTTACTAAATTGTTCAATGCCAGGGAACAGAATATCGAGTTTAAATAATGGCTGTCAATCCTTCTTGGTGTAGACAATTTAAATATTTAAAGTTTTACAAAACGATAACCTTTATCTGCATTTTAATGGCTCTTTTTCTTTCTAAGACTCGGTCGAACAGGCGTGCCTCAATGGGATGGTTCAAGGTCTACCAGATGGTACACGTTATTGTAGATGTAAAAGTGGTTTCAATGGAGCCGGGTGTTCACTACGTTAGTATACACTAGTGTTTTTATTACAATTCATTCTAAAAAGACAAAGTTTAGGATTTAAGGAAAAGGTGGTGCTTGAATGGACTTTCAAAAGCCAACAACTAATAATATATAATGACATGTGTATAACAGTAAACAAATGAGAGCTTGTATATTATAAATATTGTTTAAGCTTGTATATGAAATTGAAACGAAAATCGCTCATATACATAGCATGTAGCTTTCTCGCTTAATAACGGAATGTTATAAAAACCCTTCGACCTTCGACCTGCACCTTCGACCTTCACCTTCGACTTACAGGGTGTCCAAAAAGAAAATATTATAGAAGCTATTTTTGCCGATCTCGGACCACGCAAGAGTCACTTGATTTGTGGTTCACAGGTGAGATCATTAAGATCTTAAATTGTAGCAACGTTTGCAGTACTCTAGGTTTAGTTACAGGGGTGAAATAGCGTTTTCATGTTATCAAATTAAGATTCTGTTGATGTTGATCGGGTAGTCAATCGGGTAGTTTAAGTGGAAGTTTCCCTTTTTAGAACTTACTTCCTGGTTTTGATTCGATTGAATCGAAGTAAAATTAGAGCAAGTAGCGATCAATTACTGTTCTATTTATTGAGTCCCAATTATAGTCTTGTTGTGTGATCAATATTAAAACGGGATATGGCGTCAATATCTTGTTATTAACTTTGAAATCTTGTCCGAAAAGTGATGACGTCACCAGGCCTATAAAGTATTTCGCCGATGTAAACTCAAGAGATGACAGCTAGCTTTCGACGAGGACAGAGCTCCGTTCAATTTCATAATCTATTTGAAGTTGGACTTAGTCGTTTTTCAAAGAAATATTTTTGGACTTTGACAATTTTCATAAGAAAAGTCAAAGGTGCAGGTCGAAGGGTTTTTATAACTTTCTTTTTGGCCCGCTTTTTGGGCACCCTGTAGGTCGAAGCTGAAGGTCGAAGGTGCAGGTCGAAGGTCGAAGGGTTTTTATAACATTCCCTTAATAACCGTTCAGTTTCAGTATTATGCTTAGATAAGATTAAACCGCATTATATAATGCCTTTGATAGTTCTATAGCTGGGTTTCTGATACATATTTTAAACTAGTTGTTTCGTAAGATACAGTATTTGGAGCTAAACATGCATGGCGTTCATCATTCTCTTCAAATACAATTATACTCACTTTGATATCCAAATTGCCAGCATAGTATTCAATAGGCATCAGTTTAGTGATTCCCGTTGCTGAACGGATATCCATGGTAATCTAAAGCGCTTGAAACGCATACAAAAGTATGCGCGCTCTATACATTCCTACTATATTGATTCATGTGCTTTCCGTTCACGTATAGGCTGTGGAAAACAGTGCAAGCTTAAACTGTCTTATATATTACAGGGGACGAGTGTGGCTGTGGAGATGGGGGAGTGTGCACGTGTAAAGCAGATACGTGCCAATGCGAATGCCACCCATTGTTTACAGGCGCGACATGTAATGAAAGAAAAGAGCTCCCTTCCAGTCCATCCTACTCCCCTTCTAGTAAGAACACAATTGCGATCACTATAAGAAAATGCTCAGCATCAACAATTCATGATAAATCAGAATAATTCATACATCTGAGTGGAAATAAACAATTGGGAAGGCACTCAATTGGATGTTACATTAGCCTAACATTTTATACTTAAAAACATGTATACGTGTATTAATTTATAAAAACATGTTTCATTCAAATGAATAGAAACCACACGGTCCGAATAACTGAAGGAAAAATTAACTGCAACATTTATTTTAAGGAGATGCTAGTGGACAGTGGTGCACGATAGCAGGCGAGCCACATTACCAAACATTCGATGGCGCAGATTTTCATTTCCAAGGTCACTGCCTGTACAGCATGTCAGAGGAAGTTGTTCCCGAGGGGTTTGACCCCTTCTTTAGTTTATCAGTTCGTAATGCGATAAGAGAGTTTGGCTGGAGGGGAGGAGTTTCATGGCCATCATATATTGTGATAAGAATCTTGAACAAGGTTGACATTTTCATTGGACAAATGGGCTATGGTCCTGGCCTTAGTACTCTTGATGTTCGGGTAGGTTAAACTTCTAAAGTTTAAAGGGGCAGAATATGCCTCGACTCGTTTAACTTAGAGCAAAGTCGTTATAAGAGAGGTTTCGCAAAACGAATTAGCTAAAACGTATCCGCATCCGCATCTCGTTACGTTTACGGATACGTATTTCGATAATTTTCGTTTCGCAGTTCGTTTTTTGAAGTACGTAATTATAAACGCATCTCAATCCGTGTTTAATAGTAGTGAAAACTAGGGTCAAATAAAAGGCTTCATCTGCACTAAGACTTCAAAACACCATTGGGAGTGTCAGCTTTCAGAATCACAACTCCAAAAGTATTTTTGTTGAGTGCAAAAATACATATTAACCCTTTCATCCCTAAGGTGTCATTTATTAATTTCATGACATCAATTTCAAAATGAAGAAAATCCTTTAGGCCAGAAAAGATTATTTCTCGGTTTACAATAACCAATTCGGTGTCAAATTATACCTTTGGGAATATTTAAAGGTTTGAAAACAGACCTTTAATTTCATGTTTTTGCAGCTGTATATTTTGGTAATAATTCAAGATCAAATAAATAAAAAAATAGCGAATTGGGCAAGACCAAGGCATTCGGAAACCATACGTTTTCACATAAGCCCCCCCCCTTTCCTCATACATGGGCTTTAGTTGAAAACCCATGCCTCATATAAACTAAGGAGGGGAACAAAGTAACATATTTGATCATAGAAAGCGACACAAATACATGCATATCAGTTATGCAATAAAAGTATGTTTTGCATGAGCAATCAACAAAAAATATATTATGTAAAAAGATAAATTAGCATTGTTTTTCTTGAATTCATTGGACAACAGGGGACCAGCTCATCAGAGAACGACGCGAAGCTAACGCCTACCATGCCAGTTGAATATCTCACCATCATAATATCCTATGTCCCCTTTGGGGTCTACATAGAATCGACTGATAAACCAACAACATAATACCCTAAACCGGCCATTTGTTTCTTATCCCAATAAACACCACAGCCTGATCGGACACAGCCCACAACTCGACATACAGGGGGTCCAAAAAAAACAGGACCGTAAGAAAGTTGAATAACTTGGTCAATTTTGCATATTTTGCCTTGAAATTTCAGAATTATTTGGTTCATTCAATGTGAATTTTGTTGTATAAGTTTGATAATAATCTACTAATTGAGTCAAAAACTACAGCTCCTTACAAAACATGCCCCAAATGTGCAAATCTCATCTCTATGCACAATTCAATCCGGCGAACAAACCTGTTGATGATCCTCCTACACACATGTCTTTCTGAATGGACAAGTTTGTTCCAAGAACAATTGCTACTGGGGCTTACATCCTACTGATGAAGTGTTACAGCATCCATTGCATTCTGAACAATGCACTCCCTGGGTGGCAATGAGGAAACATGGAATCATCAGTCCCTTTTGGTTCGAAGGTGACTGGGGACTTGCTATCACCATGAACAAGGACCAGTAAGTTCTCACCAAGTTTTGGAGGTCACTAAGCACCAGAGGGGACATCTAAGGAGATAATTAAGCAGTGGTTTCAACAAGCCAATACCACCCCAACACTGCAAATGATATGCTGAAATGGTTTAGGCAATGCTTTGGTGGTCAGCTCATCAGTTGCAGAACGCAAACCATATGGGCAGCTCATTCGCCTGATCTAAATCCCCCAAATATTTGACTTTGAGGATTTCTCAAAGCCAATGTGTATACTGACAGGCCCCTAACAATCTTAAGAGGGTAATAACTACCCCAATATTTACCATCCACATTAATATGTATAGGTAAGGGTCATTAACAACTTTGTTCGCAGGATTCGTTTGTGCATAGAGAGGAGAAGTGCCCACTTTGAGCATGTTTTGTAAAGGGCTGTAGTTTTTGACACAATAAACAGATTATCATCAAACTTTTAGAACAAAATTCACATTGAATGAACTAAATAATTCTCAAATTTCAAGGCAAAATATGCAAAATTGACCGAGTTATTCAACTTTCTTACGGTCGTGTTTTTTGACACCCTGTATATAACCTATTACAACCAAACACAACCTAGATCACCAATTATGCAACAGTACAATAGAACATAACCAAGTGTCAAAATACTCAGAACGCAATATAGCATAACCCAGCACCAAAGCCAGCATGGCGCAACCTGACTTACAACCACCAAAACACAACCAACTGTCAGATTAACACAATATGTCACAACCCAATAATAAGACAACAAAGACAAACACAACCAATTGTTGAATTAACTCAACACAAGTGTGCACAATCCAACACTAAACAATAAAAACACAATCAGGCACAACCAATAAAACACAACTAAACTAACAACCATGAAAACACATCGAACTGTGAAATTATCACCACACAATTTGGCACAACCCAATGTTAAACCAACAAAAGCAAACACAGCCTATTGTTCAAGTAACACAACACATTTTTTCAAAACCCAAAACCAAACAATCAAAACAAAATCAGGCACAGGCAAAAAACACATTAAAATTGTAATACCGAGATTCACAACTAACTTAACCCAATTTGAGACAACGCCTATCACACAACACAATCAGACAAAACAAGATACCTCACCCGACTAGCCACAACCAGCTAGCCAACAAACAGAACATATTCACAAGAGAAAACAACCCATTATAAGATTAACATAACACAATGGGACACAACCCGATACTAAATCACCAGACTAACAACCATTAAAAGAGAACCTAGTCTCAAACGTACTCAACACATTTCGGCAAAACCTATACATACTTGACACTAACCCACCATTACACAACCAGGCTTAGTCAAATACTCAATCGATTTCCTCAACCCATCAAAACACAATCAGGCACAACCAATAAACCACAACGAAACGTTGATACCGATTCACTCAACTAAGTTATTCTAACTGGAGACAATCGCACAAAACTATCGGGGACAACCCGATATCTACTGAATATGTACTTGAATTAAAACCCCCCCTTCCCTATCATTACATAAGCTGCTAATGAAGAACACATCATGGACCACTACCCAAGAGTTAGGAACATCTGGGGCCCATACCGTGACTCATATGTAAAGGAGAAGATCCGTTACAGGATCTGGATGTCAGGCCTGTCTTTACAAAAATGAAAATAGGAAATGATACGGTGGTTCGGGGAAGCTTGGGCACTAAACTTTAGGGCACTAGTCTCCCTGGACCCCCAAACGAGGCCGCTTACTATTTGACATAGATCACATGACTTGATGCGTGTTCAAGTCATACCACGGGAAGAAGCTACCTGGCTGGAATTTTTTTCAAAATCATTCAGTTTTTCATCACTTCTTGGGAGTTTTAAGCCAAAAAAGCCCCCCCCCTTTGCCACAAGCTGGATACGGGCAAGAGTGATGCGGGGCGCCATCTTTAGACCCAATATCACATTCATTGTCGAGGTCTGGAACAAGCTACTATACTCAAACTAAGCCCAAGACCCTGCTCTATATGAATTCGGAGCGTGACTTAAGGCACAAAATATATATTCAGGTGGCCTAGCTGCTAACCATTGGTTTGATGTCCCTAAGAAATTGACTACGGTATTACTATTGACCCCAGAAACGATAGACCTTACATCTGCCTATTAGCAAATGTGACTAAAGCTTTATTTGCAAAACTTGCAGGCCCATCGCTTATAATCAAATTTATCGGCAGATAAGGCTATTACTTCATCAAAATTAGCACGACACACATGATAACATATGTGTGTTACTAAATTTATACATTTAGGAAAAAATTTATCAAGATTTGAAGGACAAAATAGATACGGAGACAACTACGCATAGAAAGTGTTAGTTTACGTACTTTCGGTTTTGCTGTTGGTATCACAAACGTATTGAGTACACTTTTACTCCATCGATCCGTTACGGATTTTGATACGGGTACCTAAAACGTTGTGCGAAACATGTACACTGTAATTATTGTAATACCATTCCATACAGTGTAAAATGGATTGAACATACCATTTGAAAAACTCAATTTATTTCAAACAATAAACAAATTCATTCACCAAATTTTAATCATTATACACAGCACATTGTGCTTGTTCATATAGTGATACCTTTAGAACTAAAAACAATATAATCGAAGGGTAAAATCGGATACTAGTACGTAAATGACCAACGTACAAAAGCCTCATTTTCGTGTTTTCCGTATCATTTCACGTATAAATTGAACTGACTACGCATAAATCTGATAAATACGTTACGGATACGGATCCGTGGAGCTAAAAAACGTTTTGCGAACCCTCTCTATCATCGGCCAACCCACGTAACGTAAACGGATTCCATTCTATAAGCTGATGCCTTATGGGCACATAACCTCTGCTTGAGAAAATACTACCGCTCAATTTAAAAATGTTTTTTGTTCGTTTTGTTACTCAGGAGAGTTGCTGTTTTTCTAGTTGATCTTACGGTGGACAGATGAAACATAAAGCCACTCTCCAAATAACACAAGTGCCCTCTTGTCGTCACTTGCAATCTATCTCTAGCCGTCAAACTATTACATTCTTGATAACATACGAGTCTGTACTATTTATGGTGTTCCCTTATCTTATATTATAACATAATTTGTTTTGATATCTTAGATTCTTTAAATATCCTTGTAGATAGTGGACATTGTAAATCAGGAAATCACTCGGATAACAGAGTTTACAAATTTGCCACAGACAAAATCAATAGGAACCATACTAGGGACGAATACAGCCGTCACGGCAGAAATATCTTACATCGGTCGCAAAGTTACTGTAGAAATAGTACCAATGGCACTAAAAATACAGTTTATATCTAGCTACGAAGCAAGAATATACCTAGACGAATATTGGAAAGGGAAGGTCAAAGGTGAGGTCGAAAGTTGACGATGATCCACACAAAAATGGAGAGAACTGCGGGAATATCATCATACCGTCTGACTTAAATTTTGATTTTAGATTCGGAATTCTGAGAAAATTCTTTTTTAGTTTGACACCTCAAATGTTGAACCTAGAGAAGTTTATTTTATTCACTACTTTCTGGACACAATTTCTCAAAACTTAGTAAAAATACCTAACGACGGTAAAGAGCTAACACTAAAAGCATACTCATGACTATAAGTATTCCAATTATCAAACAATGTTATGAAAGTGGTGTGTCAAAATCACGAAAATAAGGAAAACCCAAAGATTTGACCTAGATTTTGACCATGGGGTTGCAGTGTCCAAATTATCAATTAAAGTAGCTTTTGAGGTCCTCTTCCATAGTAGGCTTTCATTAAATCTATTTTTATTCAGACGGCATCTATTATTTTTTACAATTTATAATTTTCTTCAGGCCCATTGACTTAACATGGAATATCAACATATCGGTTTTTAAATGTCAAAACGCCATAACCGGAAGTCGTATCGAAAACGTTACGGGTTAAATGTTTGTGTTGACCACACTCTGGACACCATTGTTTAATATATAGTATTATAGAATAGACAAACATGGACATGTATTGAACTCTGTCAAATAATTTTTCATTGACATACGAGGCAGTTCATGTCATACAACAGGTTGAAAGTCCCTTATATTAAAGGCCCAGTGTTAAGTACTTTTCAAATAATGGTTAAAATCATTTACAGTAATTAGACATGAGAAATAATGAAAACGTATTCCATGATCTGTTGTCAAGTTTTCCATTTTGTTTGACTGTTTCAGAAAGTAGAACATTCACTCCCCTCCATAAGTTTGGCAACCTTTTTTCCCCCATTGAACTACGTGTTAAAGCCTCTTTACCCTTGAATTTTTATATACTTAACCCGGGATGAAAATACTTATACTATTGATGGAAACGTATTTTGACTTTAATTCCAATACCTCCAAATATTCTCAATTTTCTTCCTCAATTAAAATAGTTCGAAAATTGATGATAAATTTGATGAATTTTTGAAAATCGACATTCCCATGTTAACCAATGGGAAATGGTAGGTTTTCCGCAAGTCATATGACAGAATATCCATCTATCCGAGTCCTTGCAAAAAATATGAGTTATGCGTTCAATTAAATTTGCTATCTTTATTTAACAAAAAATTGATATGTTTCTTCAGGTTCAACAAAGTTATAAGGCTTTAAAGTCAAAATTGTTTTTCAAAAAACCTCTCCCATTGAAATAACACAGGAGGCGAAAAATTATTTTCAAAAATGACTTGATGAAGTGCTGTAACTTTAATATTCATCAAATAAACTAAACACTTAGTGTTAAAAAAAGTTAGACAATTCAATTTTCTATATAAAAATATTTTTTGCTGAATCTTTTACTGAAAAGATATCCTAATTTCTGATTTGCCCCGAACCCTCCATTTCCCATTGGATTACATGGGAATGACGATTTTCAAAAATTCATCAAATTTATCATCAATTTTCGACCTATTGTAATTGAGGATTTTTTTTTAGAAAATTTGGAGGTATTGGAAATAAAGTCAAGTTACGTTTCCACCAATATTATAAGTTATTTCATCGCCGGTTAAGTAAATAAAAATTCAAACGTAAAGAGGCTTTAACACACAGTTCAATGGGGGAAAAAGGTTGCCAAACTTATGGAGGGGAGTGTACTTTATCCGATGGAGACTACATATATATCGGGATAACGGCACATGGTATGCGCCACTGAAATCATATTCGCCTCATATGACGTCTTTAAAATCATATCCGACTCACATGATGGCTTAGAAATAGTATCCGTCTGAACTATATACAGTTCCAAGATTATGTGCTCAGTAAAACTGAGTTTTTCATGCAATAGTTTTGTTAAAATAACTTCACAGAAAACAAAATGAAAAAATTAGAAAAGATTCAGAAAACAACAACTTTTAGGTCAAATTATTTTAAGTCCATACAAAACTAGCGGCCATAGGAAAAATATGATATCCCATGATTTTCTTGGGCTATCATTTTTTATCCGATGGATACTAAATATATATGGGGATACCAACACAAGATTATTTTCGTATACTCCACTAAAATCGTATCCGATCCATATGACGTGATATCCAATCGTATCCGACGGATACTATTTTAAAAAATATTCTGAAAAAAAAAATTGAAAAAATTGAAATTTTGAAAAAAAAATTGAAAAATAAGTTTTGAAAAAAATTAAAAAAGAAATTTGAAAAAAGGAAAATTAATCTGAAAAAAATAAAATAAAATTATAGGGATAAAAAAATGAAAAAAATTGGAATAAATCGAAAAATATTTCGAAATATTTGAAAAGTTCCAAGGTTAAGAATGCTCAGTAAAAATGAGTTACATTTTTTCATGCAATCATTTTATAAAAATAAGGTCACAGAAAATAAAATGAGAAAATAGAATAGAATTAGAAAACAACAACATTAGGTCAAATTATTTGAGGTACATACAAAATAGTGACCATCGGATAAATATGATATCCTATGATTTTCTCGGCTATCATTTTTATCCACTCTTGGATATCGCCGATATCCACTCATGGATAAAAATGGTATCCCTCAAAAATCATAGAATATCCTCTATTATTCCATAGTTAGCATGATATTCATTGGATAACATGTGAAAATAAAAACGGTATTTTTGTAATCAGTGGTAAAATATGATATTTTTGACAAATTTTCACTTAACCATAGCATACGGTTTTTTAGCCATGACATACGACGTCGTATGCGATGGTTAATGGATTTTTGCTACTTCAGACTCAAAACGAGGCTAAGTGTCAACATCGCCGGATCGTTTGGAAAATTCGACTTAAATGACTTAATTTCCGACAATTCTGATGATGACTTTAACTATGGAATAAAAAGAACATCCTATGATTTACTCGTGATATGATTTTAATCTACTCATGGATATTGATATCTGCACTCTCTCGCTACGCTCGCTCGTGCAGATATCATATCCATTCGTGGATAAAAATCATATCAGTCATAAATCATAGGATATCCTCATGGTTGCAATGATATAGATCGAATATCACATGAAGATATATTTGATATGTGGATCAAGATATCATAGTTTATCCAAAAATTCACAAACCATCGAATATCACTTTTTAACTATCGAATATCACGTCTTAAAAAGTGATATTCGATGGTTTGAAAAGTGATATTCAATAGTTTGAAAAGTGATATTCGATGGTTTCGATTTTTTTCAAAATTTGTTTTTTGCATTTTTTAATTATTTTTCAAAATATTTTAAAAAATCAAAATTTCAAAAAAAAAATTACAACATTTTATTCACAATTTTTTTCAATTATTTTTTCAAATTTTTTCTCAAATTATATTTTTCAACTTTTTTTGCTGATGAAAATTTCCCATGGGACAAACGGACAATCCTATGGTTTTTCAAAAATATCAATTATATCCACTCATGGATACTCATTCGCTGCGCTCACTCATGAATATATTAATATCAACTCATGGATGTAAATGATATTTTTTCAAAACCATAGGATATTCCTATAATATCATTTTGATATCTACAATAACTCGTGGAGAAGGGCGATATCCACTCATGGATAATTATGGTATCCCCCATAAATCAAAGGATATCCTCTATATATAACCTCTCTATATATGTTTAATTGTTTCAATCTTTATTCGGTCAATATTCATTCGGTAAATCATTCTTATCATTCACATTTAAGTCATCCAAGATACATTTCCAATTTACAGTTTGTTTGAGTTAGGGTGCTCACATATTTGAATATAATCTAATTAAAATGTATTTATACTAAACATGGGACTATACTACCCAGTTTATATAGTCTTGAGACAAATGTAAGTAGATATAGTCCCATAGACATGTATAACCAGAAAAATTAGAAGAACATGATTCGGGGTCAGATACAACAAGAAGACATAGTACACTTTGATATGTATAACTAGGATCATCCGGAAATATAGTCTCCTGGACATGCATTGATATTGAAAATTATTTATTTAAAATGGGCAGGATTCAAATGGCCACCATTTTTTTGTTGAGAAATGTAATCTTTGATAACTTAAATACCAGTCAATAGATTTGGTTCGAAGATATATTCTGGAGAGAGTCTGTTGAAACCATAATTTGACTTTGAATTTGCAAATTTGACCTTATGTATAAGGTAATGTGACCTTGCTAATTTCAATTAACAGTCAAACATAAACAAACTCTCAAATGCAGGTATGTGTGGCAACTATAATGATGCTGTTGACGACGATTACGTTACCAAGACAGGCATCAGGGTTAAAACCAGAGAGAACAAAGGAACGCTGATTGGCAATAGCTGGAAGAATGCTGAGTCACTACCATTATATGATAAAGAGTATGTACTATCATTGTTTTGACAAGAAACATTTAGCTCTATTCGATTTTATAATGTGTATGCACCTGGTAAAAATCGTCACTTTCTGTAAATTGTATTTAATTGTATTTTGAAGTATAATTGACCCCCTGATAGGCAAAATAAGTTTTCCGAATGAAAAAAAATTGCTTCACTTTAGTTTTCAAATTAAGCACTGTTTTATGGTTTTGTTATTGTTTGGATGGTTCTCACTTTTTATCACCTAGGTTTTGTTAGACTAAAATCAGTTCGAAGGAAAGATAATGAACACTTTTATTTTGATAGGCAGGAAAGTCATGTTCACCAAATGAAAGATTCTACTTTCCTACTGTAGGTACAATTATGTCGAAATATGTTTTTGGATCAAAACGTTTTTATTTTACGAGGATTGTCAAAGAATTCTTAAAAGGTGTGCTGTTGATTTTATTTGCATTACCTGGGTGGAAAACACCTATGATATTGGTGGAAATGTACCTTGATTATATTCCCAAATGCCTTCAAATTTCCCGAATTTTTTCCCTCAACTACATGAGTCGAAAATTTATGATACATTTTTGAAAATCGTCATTCCCATGTAAACCAATGACAAAATGGTATGTTCGGGACAAATCTTATATCAGGATATCTATCCAGTAAAAGATTCGCCAAAAAATATTTTCATATAGAAAATTTTTTGTTTTTGAACGCTAACTTTATGAATACTAAAGTAGCAGAGCTTCAGTCATCTTTGAAAATCATTTTTCGCCCCCTGTTTTGTTTCAATGGGAGGAGTTTTTTTTAAAAAAAGTTAACTTTGAAAGTCTATAACATTTTTAAACCCAAAGAAACCTATCAATTTTTATTAAATAAAAAAATTCAATTTACTACCTAATTTGTATTTTTTGCAAGAATTTGATGGATGAACATTCTGCCATATGACTTGTGGTAAACCTGCCATTTCCCATCGGTTTATAGGGGAATGATAACTGACCCTTAATTGATGACAACTCCAAACTTCGGTGGCTAAAGACTCCAAACCTGGGAGGCCAAAGACTCAACGAGTCACGGTAGAAAATTCACCATGACTGGATGGGAAGGCATCAAAAGTGCATTACTTGCAAAGGCCAATGTTTTAAATGAGACACCGTGCAATGTACATCAATTAAACCAAAAATGTGCCCTCAGTCACTTATTCGTTACAATTTAGTTAATGCAATTTTTTTTAATTTTAAATATTGCATGCATAGGATGTGATCCTAAATTCAAAAGAATGGTTTGGTCTTGATTTTAGCCTCCTTTAAAGTGCCCCAAGGAGGCTCATTATCGTACAATTCTCATAAAAAATGAAACCATACAATGTTATTCAATCAAACTTTCCAAAGTGAACAACAAATGTTCAAGGATCATCCATGTGAAATACTTGTATTATGCCAAAAGAATAAAAATTGATGATATGAGAGCAAAACTTTTCGGACCCTTTGGACAACCCTCGTTATTCAAATATGTTAGTACTTTCTAGAGGCAATCGTTTTATGTTAATCTGGTCTACACAGGGTGTGTTCCAAATTAAGCGAAATAAAATAAGAGCAAGTTTGTTTATTTCATTGACCTCAACCCCAAATTCTCTGAACAATGTTTTCATTTTTATATTTGAATAGGAATAAACAATGATAGGTCATTCGATATTGTTAAATTCTACACTCGTTGGACATAATGTCAATAAAATTCACCCACATTCGGCTTGCTTTGTACGACATTATGTTCGACACGTGCTGAATTCCAAAGTATCGCCTTATTTATTTATTAATTCTAACATTACTGCTTTTTCAATTTCAGTTCGGATACCTGTATAGATAATACTTTGCCAGATTTACCAAGATTTGATGAAATTAACCAAGCTTTGTTTGATGAAGCATCAGAACACTGTAGAGATCTATGTCCGAACATATTGGAGTTCAGATATAGTGCATGTGTTGCGGACTATTTTACCACTCAGAATGAAAAAAGGATGCAATGCGAAGTATTGCTGAATACGCTTGACTCTACTCCGTGTTCGGGAATTCCAAAAGAATGTGAAAAATATGCATCAGAAAACAGATAATAAACATAATTAACAAAATCGAATGTGAATGTAAATATAGCATTTCAGAATTACAAGAATAAAATATAAACTCAGCAAACACACATTGCTTCATGTACTCTGGAAAACCCAATATGCGTAGGATATTGTGACGATATACTCCGCTTGTTGATCTCCCGCAAAATTGAATCTATTTGGCACGAAATTCATTTTGCAATGATATTATACATTTAGTACACTCCTTGTAAGTTTAGGATAATAGAAAAACTTTTTTCAGAATATCATTTTAATGTACTCGGTGATATTAATATATGCTCTTGTTCGTTTTGCTCTCTCGAGCAGATATCAATATCACCTCGAAGATAAAAATGATATTCCTCAAAATCATAGGATATCCTATCATTATCTTTATGTTTCTGATAGTTATGAAAATTAAAGTATGTCCAGTAATAGAAAATGTTATCCGTTCGATATAAAAAACAATATTTCCCTTTTTGTGATTTTATAACATGGTGTCTATGAGGAATCTCCCCGACCCAGAAAGTCACATTTAAATTTTCAAAGTTGACAAACACTTTAAAAACAACATAGATGTCATTTTACATGTAGATTTCAAATATGATATTACGTTGACTAATGGCCTAGTCACATAGCCCGGCCGATGTCCGGCATCGGTAGAGCTCGGTGGATTTTTTTGGTGCCACCGAGCTCTCCTCATCGGAAGCAGAGCTCGGTGACGTGAACGGACTCCGTCCGGACATCTTCAGGCGACCGACCGAACACCGACCGGTGACCGTACGGAGTCTGTCTCGAATACGGCCGGTACCCGAGCAGGTAAAGTAGCGGTCACACTAGCCGTGTAGGCTCACCGTTCGCCACCGTGTGGCTAATTATGGGGTCGTTTCCCGCCCGTTGAGAAACGTTCAGGGAACGTTGCCGTCCATCCACACCCGGCGAATTTTTTGAGCATGCTCAAAACTTTTCCCGTTTGAGTAACGTTCGGTTGCGAACGGGACGGTACGGGAATGGTATAAGGACGGTGCGGCCGTTAAGGACACGTTCGCAGAGCGGTAATGGGACGATGGTGGACGTTGACTCTATCAGTGACGGGCTGCGAACGAGAGTGTACCGCTTGGGTACCGTCCGATAAACGAGGTTCAAACAGGGGTTTGAAAGATCACATAAAAAAGATTTTCACGGTACCAGCCGCTTAACGCTTAGGTAACAGTCCATTAACGTGTTAACGGCCTTATAACTGCTCCATAACATCCTCTAAACATCCTATTACCGTGAACTCGCAATTGTACCGCCTCGTGACGCAGTGTTGTCACCGTGTTCTGCCGTTTCAACAATTTTGCCTCCAGTTTATTTAAATATTCAGGTATTGTCCAAGGTTTTTTCCCGTAACTCGAGACATCAATTCTTCGACTTTCTCATTTGTACTTTGAAGCCACAAATCCACTCAAACCACTTTGACAGAGATTCTTTTGAAGACACTGAGAAAAACAAGTTACAAATATAATTCTTTTATCATACACGAAGAAAATAAATAAATTGCAAAAATGATTAAAGCTCAAATAAAAGTGAAAATAAATGTCCAGTTAGCATTATAAGCCAAACTTCGAACTATCAACTGTTTTATGCATTTTACGTGATCTTTCTGTTCACGTTACCGTCCATCAAAAAGTTGTGAAAGCTTTATTTCTCATTTACACGACCAATTATATAAGAAAAAATTAATAGGGTGGAGGAAAAGCCGATTTCTGTCAGAAAATTCAATAAAACTGCCATATTCATGTTCATGACAACTTAACGTTCACACATTAATCCCTTAATGATTAAGCTACGGTATAACAAAGATGTGAAGTCTTCCGTGAATTTTCGAGTGATACCCTTCTGAGTTATTTGATTAATTTAAAAAGGCGCGACGTCACCAGCGTGCAAAAAGTCAATATTTTTTTGTATATAACTCAAACGACGCAGGTCTAAGACCTGTAATATATACGTTGACGCAATTATCACAAAATATATGTAGTTGCCGTTTTACAAAACGTTATGAAAATAATATAAAACACCGCCGTCTTTTTTCGAAATCAAATAAGATTTGGCATATTTTTATTAGTGATTCAATAAACTGACTTCAATTTCAATTCGAGTACAGTTCACTTCGAATCCCTCCATTTTAATGAGGAAATATATTTCTAAACGTTGGAGGGGAGTAAAGGTTCAATCTGTACCTTCCAATAACGCTTTGCGTAAAATGTAATGTCAAAACAAATAGTTACCCCTCAGAGCAATAAGTTTCAAAACGTATATAGTAAAAACGTAAAACGTGATATGGTCGGATGAAATATAGTTATTGCATGTTTGTTTACCAAAATTGGTCAAGTTATCGAGACCTAGTCATTTTCAACGTATTTTCATGGAATAAACATACTAACTATTACAGAGAAAGACTTAACTCGGTTGACCCAACTAGCTGCTTACAGGATGGACAAGCTATGTGGCCACACTGTACAGTTAAATATAGACAAACTTGTAATGTTATTGAACATAATTAAGATGTATAAGCAAATCAATTATATAAACCATTTAGCTTTGAACACGTGGATGGTTGAGCATACATACCAAAAAGTGAGTTAAATATTGTGAGCGTTTGCATGACGCCATCAAGGCGGTTCGGCCGATATCCAGGCGTTCCGGCCGGTGAAAACCTGGTGAGAGGATAGTATGCGCCAGTTGAGAACACGGCGAGAACGGTAAGCAAGAATTCTGAAATACGGTAAGTCCGGTACAAGGCCGATGAGAAGCCGGTACAGACCCGGAATAGAACGGTATAGTCCCGGTCAAAAATGTATAAAAACAATGCGGCCGTCGCCGTCTGGCCATAATTAGCCAAACGGTGACGAACGGTGAGCCTACACGGCTAGTGTGACCGCTACTTAACAGGACACCGTGCGATCGTCGGCCGGGTTGTTAACGGGCTTTGAACAGTGACCGGCCGATGCTCTGTCCCACATCGGCCGGAGCTCGGTCGGAGCTCGGCCGCTGTCCGTTAAAAAACCTCGTCCTCTGGTTGTCTCAGATGCACGGGACACCGGCCGATACTCGGCCGTGCACCGGCCGACGTGTTTTCCGATGTGGTTACGATGGGGCTGCGATGACATGATGAGGGAGCTCGGTGAGAGCCCGGTGAAATTTAACTCCGAAGTTAAAATTTAACCGAGCTACCACCGATGCGGTTTTAAGCAACAAACGCCACGGATGTCCGGCCGGTGTCCGGCCGGTGTTCGGCCGAGTTCGGTGAAAATTGCATCGCTGGCTCATCGTAACCTCATCGGCCGGGCTATGTGACTAGGCCATAAAAGATTATTCGCATCTAGTCCATTCTAAGGTCAACTTTAAAAGAATTAAAAGATCTATGTGTTAAATATGATGATGCAGTGAGCAAGTTCCGAGCAGCAATTAAAGTGGAGGTATAAAAGGATATGTATCGATATGGTGAACTGAATTCAACAAAATGTTTGTCTCTTAAACCAATTATTGAAAGCATTCTGTAAAAACACGGTCCTTTATGTAATGTTGAATGATTGGCAACAATTTAATGAAAAATTATTTTTATACTAGGGGTGATCCAAAAGTCTTGGACGCCCTGCTCTAATTTTGTTGGTTTTTGATAAAATTACTTTAAACTTTCCAATAATAAGGACCCAACAACCTAACTACTTTGTGTATTAATTTCATGGAGAAATGATATATTTTATGTAGTTTTCTAGATAATTTTTAATATAGGGACCCTGCCATCCGGAACGGTATTCGCACATGGAAACTTTCAGCCTTAAATGTTGCCGCCATTTCACTTGTTTCGCAAGTCTTGACCACTATCTTTCTTTGAATTTTGAATGTTAAACCATGTTAGTTTATATTACTTCCTTTGTTACTAGACAATCAATTAATTGTGTTTTAGTTATAATGTCACATATGACAATGGCCGTATATGTCAAATTCTAAGAAAATTACATCAGACAAGCAACCCTCATTCTGGTATCATTTTTGCTGCAAGATGGCTGCTGAAATGCAGAACATGAAATAAATCAAAGTGGAACAAAGAATACTACAATATATTTTCACTATTATTGACCTAGAGCAACTACCATATGCACGACGATACAGTCTAGATATGGCTCCGTGTGATTTTCTTCCTTTTCTCCGGAAAAAGGAGGGTTGAAAGAAATTATTTTATTACTCATTGTATGAGGTTTAGAGTGGCACTCCAGCAGCATTTGTATCACAGAAGCAATGGCGGTTTCATAAATGTCTTCCATTCATTGGTAAAGCGGTATGAAAAATGTGTTCAAATTCGTGGAAAATATGTTAAAAGTTAGGTCTTAATATGTGAAGATGATGATGGCAGATGACACTTAGACTGAAATCGGAAATTCTCTCATATCATGACTGGTGTTAGGTTGTGCACCTGCACCTAAATTTTTAGAAAAGTAGCTAAAATATATTACTTTATGTTGAAACTTATACACAAAGTTTTTAAGATGTTTATCTTTATAAATATCTGAAAGTTTCATATAATTATATTAGAAAATAGCAAAGTTAGAGCGAGGCGTCCAAGACTTTTGGATCACCCCTCGTCTATTTTATATAACTGTTTTTGTTAACATTTTTTGTTTTTAGTGCAATTGTTTTTTGTTCCTTTCTACCAATTCTTGAGAATGAAATAAAATGTCTTTCCGAACCTTGTTGAAACAAAGTGGCACATACAACATTTCCGTAGACCTCTCAATATTATACGTCTAGCTTTTTTTCATTAACAAGATACTTTTTTAAAACCAACCAAACGTTCCTTTGTACAATTACAATATTGGGAGACCTAAACACGTTTTGTTTATGTCGTTTTGTTTCAATGAGGTTCGGATAGATAAAATCTAGAATTTATTCTGCATCTAAA